TCTTCTTCTTCTTCTTCTTCTTCTTCTTCTTCTTCTTCTTCTTCTTCTTCTTCTTCCTTTTCCTTTTCTTTTCTCAGTTAGATCTAGCCTTCTTCTACCAGAGTTTGGATCTCCGATCCCCCCTCTCTCTTCCCCCCTTCTTTTTCTTTTTTTTCCATTTTCTTCTTCTACCAGAGTTTGGATCTCATTTGTTTTTTCCAGATCTAAAAATCTGGAGATCCATTGTGCGGCAAGAGATTCGAATTGGGTCTAGTTTGCTCAGTAGAGAGAGAGAGATCCGTCGATTTGGTGCGGCAAAGAGTTCCGTCGCTTGGGGTTTGTTGGTGCGGCCATCGATCAGTTGCTGGGCGGCCATTGTTACTACGATGGATTTGGCTTTAGGGGTGTGGCGTATCTGGTAAATGAAGCCTAGGGATATTTTGGACAAATTGTAGACAAAGTCAACTTCCCATAAAAATGACCAAAAGTCAAAATGGGAACTTGAATTCCGGACGGAGGGAGTATTAATAATCTATATGTTAAGAGAAATCAAACAAGATCACACATGACTATATTTAGGCTTACACATTGAGAGAATTTGATGAGTCAAAGTGCTTAGATGAACAGTTCCAAAAGTCAAATGTGGACAAAAACTGGGGGATGGAGGGAGTATGACATATGTGTGCAAGGTTTACACCCGAGACTAGACTACTATTTGATTATTGAGTGATTGTGATGTGACTAATGATATTATGAATAATCTAATAACGCGAGTGATTATCAAGAGAGGCAACCTAAAGAATCTAAGACTGACCTAAATTGTTGATGGGCTTAGTGTTTCCAATGGTTATTCGGATTACAACTTGCATACATGAATCCGTGAACTGTCATTATGAAAAGGACAAGGATTTCACCCACCCGGTGGAGAATGCACTTGTTTGAGCGAGACTTTCATTCTGAAGGAAAGGTTCATATTTACTATGAAGAATAGACTAACACTATGTTTGGTTCAAGGAATTTGGTTTTCTATCCTCTTAGTACATTTTGTCTTCTCATTTTTCCCTTCTTCCCACTTTCCTTTTCTTTTCCTCTCTAACAAAACAAGAAAAATGTTTTTCATCTCATTTTCTTTTAATTTCCTTTCCCGCTCAAATTTTTTAAACGAAACATAGTGTAAGAGAACAAAGAAGAATTCATTTGGTTCAAGTGTGACCTTTGTCACGACTCATGATGAAGTAGGTGGAGTGGCATTAGTCTAGGTTATACTATGATCATAAGAATTAACCGTACGAATTGAAGCGTGATAGTAAATATATTGTTGTTGATGTATGACCGCATGCATGTGTTTGTAATTACTACGTAGTATGTTACTATAAGAATTGATTTGTGATCGAGAACCTTAATGTGCGAAGAATGTGTTGCATAGTATATCCATATAAAGGGATTATATGTGAACGATCCTGGGAGACGCTAAGAAAGGATGACTAATTGTCATGCATGATTTTCAGAACAATATTTAATGTACTGTCCTTTTAAGACACACACACACTATGTTTGTTCAAGCAATTTGGAAAGAAAAGAAAATAAAAATAGTGTTCTCTTATTTTCCCCACTAAAATAGAAGAAATTTAGTTTTCTCTCCTCTTGTTACATTTTGTCTTCTTTTTTTTCCTTTTCATTCCACTTTTCTTTTATTTTCCTCTAACCAAAAGGGAAAAATATTTTCCTCATTTTTCTTTTCCTTTCCTTCTCAAAATTCCTTGAACCAAACATAGTGCTATTGTGCCATGTTCACAAAATTGATGATTCTTACCTCATTAACCCTACAACACCCCCTACAATACATTAGCCAATCGACAATGATTGTAGGGGCTAGTGGGGGTTGTGGTTTCGGTCTAAGATAAGGGGCGTAAAGGAGCTAAGAACCATCAATTTTGCAAAGGAGCATCATAGATGCCCCAAAAGGGCACATGCAATGTAGCCCAGTGTCAACGAACCGCACCAAATTTGGATTTTATTAATTTTAAAAGTGTTTGAAAAATTTTAGCCACGCCTCACCTTGATCCGTGTAAATCCAGGTTTTACGAGCTGAGGTGTTATATTACAAATCTAAAGCCAAAAGCTAGACAAAGGATGATAGTACTAGTCAGCCGTTGCTAGTGAAGGCATTAAACGAATGAAAACAACCTGCAGGAGCTATTTGTGAACCCAAACTACCAATAGAATCAACAGCCATATTCAGTTCTGTTTCAAACCTTAGGACATACAAGCAAACTCAAAAATATGAAATTGAATCCTAAAACAAGAAACTAAAACACAGATTACAAAAACCGGGACTTACTCATTGGATTCATTAACAGATAGTATCTCTCAACTTAGAAATCCTTTCATATAATTTAGCCTTGAATAAATGGAAACCTTTGAAATTTCTTCCCACTGGGGTGCAAATTGAAGTTTACCCATTATCCTTATCTCACAAAGTCCTAATGAAACTACCATAAAGTTGGATTCCAAAGGCAAAAGAAGTGATGAATTAAATCCAGACCTGTTGAAGACAAATTTCCTGTTTGGTACACATAGAAACTATCTCAAAAAAAAATTGTTCTTCTTCTCCTCTAAATAATACATTAATACCAGCCAACAGAAAGACATAACTGCACCAAAATCAAAGGCGACTCAAACATGTGAGTAGAAATTTATACTTAATCATACAAAAACAACACAGTACTTAGATCAACATTTAATTATCCTATAAAAGCAAAAAAAAATCATTTGCTAAATTGAGAAGGCATATAAGTTAGCTCAAACAAGCTCTTAAACAATTAA